TACGCACAGCCACACATCACATGGGCCTATTGGGCCACCTACGCCTCCGTAAAAACCTGCTTTAGAATGCCACCGGCTATACCACACATTCATATCTCACCAGCATCTACAACATGCATGCTGGCACCCAACACATACCATCCGCTTGCCACCAGCGCCTTCCACATGAGAAGGAATTATTTCCCTTGACCCCTTCTTCGTGTGGTCCCTCCGCTGCATGCGTGATCGGAGCCTGAAACTATCGCTTGGCTTGAAAGGCTGCTAACTGACGCTTTGTGCCAGACCACACCATCAGTTCAGAGTGTGCGTTACGTGTTCAGTAACTGAGCATTCGACCGGGAAGCAGACAGCGGCACCCCTCTGTGGTATTTGGTAATTCTGGTGCGCGTAGGTCAAGGAGGCGGACGTAGAGGGGTGCGTCGGCCCTATTCGCCTCTGCGCTCACTACGTGCATCAGACAACCGACCGCCTTTGAAAGTGGCCTGATGTTGAAGGTTTCCGAGAGAGTGGGGTCGACGGCCAAAAGCACTTTTTTCACCTTAAACAATCTGAAATGCTTGAAGCTCTCACGATGCACTCAAAACCGTAGCCTGGATGATTGCCAACCGATGAGATAAGTTGGGTCGTGAGGTCAGCCCAGTGTGTGTTTATGTGAAGTGGTTGACTGGCGGACTGAGAGTCAGGTTGCAATTGTTTCCTCTTTATGTAGCGTTTATGGCACTTCCCCTCCGTGAGATCCCATTTCTGTATGGTGACGTGCATGGGGATTGCTCCGACCAAACCAGTCACCCGCGTCCACTTCAGCCTCTGATTGTCCTCAGTTTGTCTTGACACCGAACCTTGATGCTGGTTGAGGAGGAAGTGCGGTACATACGGCACAAGTGTACTCTTACTACGCTACAGTGCAATTCACCGTCCGTGCGCTGTATCGCTGTTGAGCACAGGGTGGACCTCTTCGAAACAATTGCCCTGTTAATTATAGGGTTTAAAGGTATGGTTAGTTTTGGTCTTGGAGTTTGTTTTTGGGTTAGTGCTATGATTTGCGTTTTGATTGATAGGGCAGGGTTAGGGTTAGTACTAGTGGTTAGTGTTAGTTTTCACTTCCCATCTCACACCTCCTTCACCTTTCGCGTTCCGATTTGTATTCGGCGTTCAAGCTGGAAGGTGCTCCTTCGCATTATCCTACCCTGGCGTCCTTCTTTGGAGTACAATTTTCGCTTACCGCAGGTGCCAAACTTGCGGTTCATCTTCAAGCTGGTCTACAGTACTTTGCTTTCATTACCCTATTGAGGTTGTAGTGCGTCTTCCTGTTCTCGTTCACTTCCCCCACATGCCCCAGCATTGTTGAACTTCAGTCAGAACCTTAGGCGCTA